ACAACAAAATTTATTTATTTACAACAAAATTTATTTATTTACAACAAAATTTATTTATTTACAACAAAATTTATTTATTTACAACAAAATTTATTTAAAAGTATCATATAGTTTACCAAAGTGCATCAGTATACGGTTTAATTGTTTGTCCGCTATATGAAACTCTAGGTAAAGTATGCAAACACAGTATATTTTACAACTTTTTAAAGTATATTAATACGTGAATCTATTTAATAAATTTGAAGGTCCCAACGCTTTGGAATATTGCTTAACACATACCGAAACTTCAATAGTAATCGTTTCTAAATCACTCATTAAACGTCTGTTAAATCTTTCCAAAAAGCTTCCATTTTTAAAGGCTATAATATCACTTGATTCTTTTGAAAATTCTGCCTATAAATCTCTATTTCTTGAAGCATCTCAAAAAAATATCTTCCTGTACGAATTTACACAAATTGAAAAGTTTGGACGGCAACATTTTAGAGAACATATTCCACCTCAACCCGATGATTTATTTATAATCATGTATACTTCAGGGACGACTGATGTACCTAAAGGTGTAATGATAAGTCATGGTAATTTCGTAGCAACATTGTGTTTGCCTTTTGACTTTCCTGAAGTATCTCCAGGTTCTCGATCAATCTCTTATCTGCCTCTGGTTCACATGTATGGTCTCAAGTTTGAATTCTCGTCAATAATGCGTGGTATGTCGATTGGTTATTTCAGTGGAGATCAAAATCGATTATTTGAGGATGTTCAAGTTTTGCAACCTATATCATTTCCCGGTGTACCTAGAATATTTAACAAATTATATAAAAGCATAAAAGCTGTTACAGTCGATGCGACTGGTGAAGAGGGTGAAATAGCAAGACAATTGTATCAAAAAAAGTTGGAGCATTTTAAAAAAACTGGAGAGTTGAAATACGAAGAATGGGACAAATTTGCAGAAAAAAAGATTGGCAAGATCCTTGGCGCAAATATAAAGCGTTTGTTTTCTTCTTCAGCACCATTAAGTGAGGACGTTACGGAATTTTTAAGAATAGCTCTTGGCGTTATTTTTGATAGAGGTATATAACATCACATATATACGTCGTACCTATTACTCTTTGATTAATGCTTTTTTTACATATTTTAAGGATATGCGCAAACAGAATCTACAGGAACAGGGACAAGAGTCTTAGTTGGTGACCTTTTAACGTCTCATGTAGGAGCACCAGCACCATGGTACTGATGTATACTTTTGATTATTAAAATTATTAATTCTGCCTAAACAAAATAAATAAATAAAATGAATTCTTTATATTTTGTAAAAAAAAAGTATTGAGATCAAACTTGTAGATGTTCCATCCTTAGATTACTACAGCACTGATAAACCAAATCCAAGAGGAGAAATTTGTTTTAGAGGTGCAACAATTATGAAAGGTTATTTCAAAGATGAAAAAAGGACGAGAGAAGTTATTGACGAGGTTTGTTATTCATACAGACATGTTTCATGATTATAGGTTTAAATTTTAACTTTGAACATTATAGGAGGGATGGTTACATACAGGAGATGTTGGAGAGTTTGATGACCGTGGTTGTCTAAAAATTATCACTAGAGTTAAACATATATTTAAGCTAGCTCAAGGCGAATATATTGCACCAGAAAAAGTAAGCGTTTATATTATTATTTTTTTGTTTTTTTTGCATGTAGGGCCATTGCAGTAAAAGGTGATAATGGGATTACGATAAAATTGTTTTCCGAAATTCATATTGTTGATTGCGATGTTGTAATGTACATTTTGACAATATGAAATGCATTCAAATGCACACCTTAAATATATTATCACCTTTTGTCACAGGATTTACGCAATATTAATCAGTTTCTTTAACGCTCCTAACTTTAAATATCTTTTTAATAAGGTTGAAAATATCTATCTTAAAAACCTTTTAATATCTCAAATCTTTATTCACGGTGATGAATTTCAGTCCTTTTTAGTCGCAATAATTATTCCAAACAAGATAAATTTTATTCCATGGGCAAACGAGATTGTTGGAGATCTGGATTATGAAACACTAGCAGGAAATAAAGTTATTATCAATGAATTATTGAAACATTTAAATGAACATGGAAAAAACAATGGGCTCAAAGGGTTAACTTTAATTTGTTATTACTTTGTTGTAACATGCATTTTAAAAATATTCTAATTATTGGATGTTTATGTTTATTTAGGTTTGAACAAGTTAAAGCGATACATTTGGATACTGTACCGTTCTCTGTTGAAAATGGACTCTTAACTCAAACGTGAGTTATTTCTGAATTAACTAAATATTAAAATCAAGATTAATCTTCTATTTCAATGATAGATTTAAAATTAAAAGAAAAGTGGTAACGCAACGATACAAAAAAATATTTGATCAATTATACACTAAGAATTTTGAAAATAAATCAAGACTTTGATGATTAGCAGATATGTCTTATTAATTTAAAAGTTGGGTATTATCCTATTCAACGTTTTTATCAACACAGCTGCATTTCGGATAAGCTCGGATAGCTCAATTTTCTATGAAATAAGAGCAAATTTAATGGATTAATTAATGATTTCGCTTCGCCTTATAACATTCTTTGAATCCCACAACATTTTTTTGCAACCTGATTGGTCGATTTACTAAAATTATCGGTCACTCCTGTTCATTTGGATTGAAAATGAACTTATATCTCTTAAATTGTAGAATTTGTATACACAATTGAAATATGTAAAAATTAGATGATGTTAATTATACTTTTTACATTTTAGAAACTCTATGAAACTATGATTACCAGTGTTAATGACGTTAAAGGAAAACTAGAGAAGCGGTGAATGTGTCTCCAAAATCCACATTAAAAATTACTGATGAAACGTTACCCGGTGACACTTAATGGTGATTTGAAGTGATTAAAGCGATTACTATATTTAATTACTATATTTAATTGTTTTATCTACTTTATTTATTTTTTCTATTTTTTATTTTATAATTATTTTAAAAAATAAAAAAATATAAGATAAAATATTTGATTAAAAAATAAATTAATTATTAGTAAAAAAAATTGTGCACTGACTAAATACCTTGTTTTTCAGTACAGTACCTTTAATTGAAAACACAGGTATTTTACATGGCATATTTTTTTAACCAAGGAGAATACCTAGTACTTTGCATGGAATTTTTCACACCACCGTATATTGAGTTTTGCTTGTGCAAAATGCCCCTGATACAATATACGTACCCATCATCGAACAAGATATCCACGGGTATTTTTTTAAGTTTTTCAGTAGGTATTTTGTCTTATACTCGGATATTTTGGTCAGTGCACTACTGCAAATTAACTATTGCTAATATGGTATTCCTACATAATACAGTAATAGGATTAAAAACGGAAAAACTGTACCTTGATTGTAAGTATGTTCATTATATTTAAGTTTTTTATTTTTATTATAGGAATCTACTATCCTTATTATAATTAATCAACTTTTATTTTACATACCATTATCAGTTGAATCTTTGATCATATTCTAAATTTCATAACTTGTATTAGGTTAATAGTAATCTGAAGTTTGTTGTAAATTCATTTTTTGAAAGTTGAATAAAGTTTTGTAGTTCGTTATTGAGAATATAATTATTAATTAGCTCGAAATAACGACCATGGGCGTTATTTCGAGTTTTTACAGTAAAATGTATAATTATGAAACCATTTTTATTATTAACTCATATACCCTTTATTTTCTGTAAAACTAGACTAGATGAAACCTCTTATAAAAACAAAAAAAATTCTATTTCTCATATTACAGTATTCAGTATTATAAGTCGCAAAATAATAATCATTTCTTGAATTGCTTATTGAATAGATGTTTGACAAAACTGAATAATCTATTTATAAATAAGTTCGAGCTATCAAAGAAAAAAGCAAGATATAGTAGTAATTTACAGTTTGATTTCATCCATAATGCAGTGTTAATTAAAGAACCTAGTGGTCTACTAGTATATATTGCTTGCGTGTTATATTTTTTGGGAACTTAATTTCTTTATTTAATTTCTGACTAATATTCCAAATAGTTTTCTCAATATTTCTAACACTTGATCTGTTTAATGGATTTCATTAAATCAATATAAGGCTGTGGTAAATCTTTAATTATTTCATGAAGACCGTTAAGAATATCAAGAATAAAATATTTATTATGACGATCAGAAAAAGGCTTTTCATTTCCCATATAATCATTCCAAAACTGTAAATATCCGATGCTGTCGTATACTTTTCGCCACTAAATATCTCTGATGCAATATATGGAATCACTCTTTTGTACCTGTTATCTCATATCCTATTTTTATATAATTATTCACAGAATTATCATATTTTTGACGTGTGATGCCATAATATTGCTGTATATAATAATTATTATCTGAACATTGAAAATAATTTTTTAACTAAAATAAAAGAAATAAGTTAATTAATAGAATAATATGAATGATATAAATGATATAATTGTAACAATGCAAAATCCTCACTTAAATTATCTTAGTAAGCCGATTATATATAACTTCTTCATCGCTAAATATGAAGTTAATACAAAAATTACACTGCTGAGCATTGTTATCCTTAAGAAGTCTTCTCTTTTTTAAATTTTTTTATACCATTTATTGCAAACATTACATTGTTGAACATTTTCATTATGAAACCTTCTCTTTTTACATTTTTCACACGTTTTTAAGAATTGATAATTCATGATTCGAATTTGATAATTGCAAATGGTTATGTTAATATAAGATACATGTAGAAGTAATTAAAATATATAAATTTACATAATTCAAGAAATAAGTTTATGTCAATATTCATATTTTTTATGTAGATTGCAAACAGAAAGGAAAACTTTTTGAAGAATATTCTTTGCTTCTGTATTACATATTATTGTAAAAAAAGAGAAATTTCTTGTTGTAAAAACAGAAAATTCTTTAAATAATGTGTACAAATAATGTGAAACAATGCTTGATATTAACAAAAAGTTGTTATCAATAGGATCAAAGTGGCCCTGATCTTAAACGCATTATCTAATTGTCCAAATTAATATTAATATTTCTTGCCGAAAAAAATATAGGTCACCTCGTTAATATCAACCTATTTGAATTGGTTTAAATCAAGTTGATAGTGATATCAACGAGAAATCATATTAAAGTTGACATATCAATATAAATTATGATGGAATTTTATATATAAAAATTTATAAAATTTGTCATGTGGCTTAGGTTGATATTAACGGGATTGATATTAACGAGGGTGACCTATACTTTCGATAGGTTTGAAAATTGAAATTAAGTCAGAATCAAGTTATCTATTGAAAGTTAGTACAAAGGTTAAATAGCTAAAATTTATACATCCGTTTGCCACTGCATACAGTACATGGGGTCTTATTCTAGAATTTTGTTTTTTGAGTTGAATAGTGCCCGTGGATATGTGTGATGAGGATATATTATATGAAAAGTAATAAACTAATATAGTTATAACTCCTGGGTACTATTCAAGAACCAAGCCAGTGGGTGGTGAATACTACCCGGATCTTAATCAAAGGGTTTATTTTGAGGGGATACTTTATGCAGTGGCGAACGGTATTTTCTCAATAATTTATGATAATCGAATTATAAATAATTTTCATTCCTATTCGATATCTGACATGCTAATTCCATTGTGTGAAATTGGAGTATTTTGACTCACTATGAAGTGCGTCATTTTTTTTATATTTCTTATTGTAAAATCATATAGATAATGTCTAACCCATCTTCCCGTGAAAAAGATGGGTTAGACGTTATCTATATGATTTTACAATAAAAAAATGACAAAAAACAAATAGTAAACGACGCACTTTGTAGTGAGTCAAAATATTCTAATTTCATAAATTCGCCGCGTGATGCATCTACTTCATATCACTGCCAACGTAAAAAAAAGTTCCGATCGAAAGGTGTGTACGTACTTACATGATAACATGACCCATTTCTGGCGTGACTGTGCTGACAGGTCAATTCGGGAAAATTCCAGTGACTGAATTAGTGTATGACCTGATTCAATGATTCAATGATTGATTTCTTGAAAATTTTTTTTTTTTGATATCAAATACTAATTCTAATGCAATCTTTTGGATGAATACCAAATACTTAAAATATATTAACTTGTACCAACCAGTTGGAACACTAATGAGATGCATCAAGCAGAAAGAATGAACTATTCCGTATTAGTTGAGAACAAGTTTAAAAAAGATAATTCAAAATTATAAAAATTTGTGTGAAAAGTCATAAGTAAATTAAAAGTACTGTATATAACAATAATTTTTAAATATCACACAATTTCTTTGTATCAAAGAATGTCACGAGACGAAATGAGTTAAGATGATGTAACAATAATAAATTTTAAGGGCATGAAATCACTCGTATCATTACAATTTTTTTTTTTTTAATGATATAGATTATCTATTATTACAAATCACGAATTCTTGGAAAGGTGATTTATATTGTATACGTAACATTTCATCATAGAAATTCAAAATTAAATATAAAAAAGTACAGATTTCTTGTGGGCAAATAATTTTTTTTTTTTTTTTTAAATTATTGTCTGATTGCATGAGTACGCATGAACATCACAATTGTACCGTATATACGTAGCAAATGGGTAACTTATTATTTACAGAAACCCCTGTAGGAGACACTGTGGCCATGCAAAAAAGTCCAAGTAATGAATTTGTTACTGCAACACAGGGTTGTCAAGAAACTTCTCGTTCTCGTAAGAAACCCTACTTTAACCTTGAAAACCAAGAATTACATGAACCACCACTATCAAGCGATGAACAAGATAAACTAGAACCCATGCAAATTGAAGATGACCATAGTGATTTTGTTGAATCGAGCAACGAAAATGAATCAAGTAATGACGATATTGGTGATTTTAATACTCATCAAGATGTACAGATGCATGATGGTTCTATAGAACGCGGAATAAAGTTTGCTGCTAGTCAGATATCGACTGTTGAACGTGAAAGATATGTACGTGCTAAACAAAAACGTATAGAAGAAGTAGAAAATGATTACAATAACATGAATGTTTTGAAATCTGAGTGATGTGAGACGCGTGATTATAGTTAAACAAGAAATGCATAGGTAATTTCAATATACTATTTATTTATTCTTTTTACAATATTATTATAAATATATCAATATTAAAGAATTCATGTAATTTACTTATATACGCTTTTAAGAAATTACGCTTTAAAGAAATCGATATAATGTTATAATTAATTTCCTGCTTTCTTTTTTTTTTTTAACAAAAAAAAATAGATCCGAATATGTTTCTTTCCTGCATAAGCCCTAAAGCATAGCTCGCCAAAAAGTTCGAAGCACGTACCAATTCTTATAAAGCCAGTACAGGTAAATAATTATTTGCAAATTAAAAACTCCACTCGTGATCATGTAAATGTCTTGTACAGTTTGATCATGATATTCATGATATTAAGATATGAAAGTACAATTATTTAAAATTGTTATATATATGAATATATATGGAATCTTTGGTTTTAATTTATCGTCTGTTCACCATTCTTAAATGTTATGATTGAAAAAAACCCAAAAAATAAGGTCACCCACCAATCAACGACCTAACAAATAAGATCTCAAAAAGTGTTTTTCTTTTTACAAAAACAATTGGTTGTAATGTAGGTTTTCAGATCAGACTCTATCGTTCATTGAAGAAATTATTAATAATCATAAATGGTGTAAGTGGTATTTGTGTCTTCTATTTCCTACCTATACTCAGTAAATACATATAGAAATATCTATTTATCAACTTTAAACATGTGTAAATCAGTTTTAGTTCATATCTTGTAATAATTGATTCTTTATTATAATTAAATTCTACACATCTTTTTTTTTTCACAAATTATTAAGGTTATTTGGTCAGCTTAAATATATAGTAAATACAGTACTTTCTAACATTATAATGAATATAATTTTCGAAACGATTAAATTCAAAATTCAAAAATATCTTAATTCCTCGAAATAATTTTAAATATTTATTTAGTATTATTTTACAAGATATTAGAACTTAAACTATTAATTTTCTAATTATAGTAAATTAAAAGATAATGACATCATCATTATGGATAACTTAAGAAAGTTTATACGGTATCGATAGGTAATAGATGTGTGATCACTAATAAAGCAGATAGCTTTCTTCGAACGTTGTGTGTCAACTATCGATATAAAAATCTGGGGCCCAAAATTTTCGTTATATAGCATATTCAATATATCTATATAACCTATAACTTTATACGTATAACGGGATTAATAACAATGTTGAGTTGGATTCTGTTATAGTGATAGTTAAAAATTTTGTATTCTGATTGGTCGCATTATATTGAATTGTTATATAATTATATAATAAGGCCTTTTTACTATATAAACCTACATATTAAATTTCTATTACCGGTAAAAATTCGGTACTTAAAGTTTGGTTCGTTAAACCAGTGAATCCCGTATAAGGGTGTCCGTTATATCGGTCGATAGTTGACAGTAGATATATACGCGTTCGCTATTTAATACGTACAAAAGGTGTTAGATTGAAGTCCCAACATAAATAAGCATGAAGCCTTTTTATTACTAAGTAATACTAATTTATTGATAATTAATTTTATTTGTATTTATTAATTTATTTGCAATTGTTCTTTTTTTTTTAAAAAAAAGTCATATGAATGACAATCTCTATAGATTATATCCGATTTATTATTATTATTTAATATATCTTCATTAAAAAGTACATGAATCACATACGTATCCATGACGTATATATACAAGCTACTCAAACATCCAAGGTGAAGATGAATTCTCGATGTAACAATCTGCTGAATTTTGTAAAAGTGCTAGCCTTAAGGCTGTTAAATTTTTGTCCAATTCTGAATATCCATTCTCTTGAGTATGCCATTTCTTTAATCGTTCAATACACGCTAAACATTCGTCTTGGTATACGAATGACGTAACATCTTGAAGATTTCTTAAAATTTCTAGCGTATCTTGTGTACTAAAGATTATCATTTTGCGTGCTTTCCCTAATACCGATCAAAAAAAATATATAAATAAGAAATGTATTTTTAAAAATCATATAATATTCGATTGCATATTATATTTAACCTTCTTGTAATAATGGTAGTGCATTGAGTAATAAAACAGGCCAAAAACTTATGGGCGCAACCTGCGCCCTTAGCAATTCCATCAATATTGCTCCAGCTCTTTGTATTTCTCCATTCTACAATTGTATAAATAGAAAATATATAATATTATGTAGAAATATATAATATTATGAGAAATAGAATATACATATAAAATTGAATATTACCTGTTTTAATGCGTGAAATAATCTATATCTCGATAAGAACTTAATTGATACAGGAGATGCATCATCAAGTTGTATACTCTCAATAGTGTCCAGGAATGTTAGTTTACCTATAATGAAAGCAATTTTAGTCATTAAAATATAATTCAAATTTATGTGAAAATATTCGAAAAACACTTACCAGTGTCAATATAATAATCCAAAAACATACGATAGATTACTTCCAGTGATGCAGTATCTCCAGCATTTATAAAGTATACTATCGCAGATGCGTATCTCTTGTTTCGCAAAAATTTTGCTCCCATAATCTTTTAACACAAATGAAATAAATAAAAGAAAATTAAATCTACAAAAAATACATATATAGCTTGATTTATACCCTTGAAATTGTTTTTTCTTGAAGAGTTAACCCATTGTGTTTACAAATACTCAGTAATTTATTGGCTTTATATTCGTCTTCAAATGGTATCCTGACAACAAGCTTTTAATCAAATAAGAGTTAGTCTTACCATTATATTATATAAAGAAACTCTGCTCGTTTACCTGAGATATATATGAATATCCACATATTTCACAATGTTCAAAATATTTAAACGCTAACTGCCAAAGTGTGGTATGAGACACCATAGATTCGGCATAATTAAGTAAACAATATTCTCTAATATCTACATCAGGCCTGAAATTGAAATTGTTTAGTTATAAAAAAGTTAAATTACAAATAATAAAATAAAAGAAACAGTGATTATTACTGCGTTGTAATATTAAATTTTTTTTTTTGATGGGAACTTTGTGAATTAATTCGTCCGACTAAATCTAGTTTATTTAAAATATCGGACAAATGTGCAGATAACCACAAATCGATGCGCTCGCAATGTTGAATCCCCTAAGAGACCATTACCAGTTAGATATTGAAAAAAAATGGTATACTGTAAACTCTCGAAATAGTGGGCATGAGCGTTATTTCGAATTTTGGCCGAAATTAAGCTTAATTCTATCAAAATTCGAAATAACACTCAGTCGCTATTTCAAGAATTTACATTAGATGAATTTTTATTTAAACTTACTTTCTCAACTTTCCGAAAAATGAATTGAATTAATGCATCATCCAATGCGGTATTGCACGTTTTTTTTTCCTTCAATATTACATTCAAGATATTTCTGATGTAAAATACTGGTTAATAAATAAGTGGATAATACAAAACTGTTTTACATGAATTAAATAATTGTAAACTTACTCCAATTCCTGTACGTCACATGTTGGACGACGGTGATACACAAGACCTCCAAGAGCTTCTTGCCATGTCGAACACTCATCAGTTATGGTTTTTGTATGCCCACGTAATATCATTAAAATTTTATTGATCTTTCCTTCTAAAAAACCCTCACCACGAAGTTTCGTCTGGAGGTCACTATATAAGTGTATAATATTTCACCATTTATAAAAGGTAGTCAGAATAAATTCTAATAAATATAATATACTTCTGTTTATAATCAATAATTACCTAATCTTACTGAGCCATTCATGCCTACGAAGGTTGAACTCATGATATTCAAGCTCTGTAGTACGTGGTCGAGAATCCAGTATGTCTAACACAAGCTTAATATGATCACTAAACTCTGCACCACCATCTTTGATAATGCTCTCTAAATATGTTTTTGCTTGAGATGACCCTCGAAGAATCAACCTGAATAAGAATTAACTTAATTCAAGTTGAAAAAAAAATACATCTAATTTAGCTAATTTAGATAGGTTATACTTACTTGTAAAGACGAGACCAAAAAAATTCATCTCGGTAACGTTCTTGATTTTGTTCTATTTGCTCTTCTTCTTCTTCTGTTAAGGCTGTTAATGAAAATATATATAAGTTTATATAATATATATATAAAAAAAAAAAAATTCTGAAATAATTTTCTGAAAATAATTGCAAATTAAAAGATTTACCAGGTAAAGGAAAACAATGATTTATCCATTTTAAAAGTTCGTGTGAAAATTGGCCAAATTGATTGTATTCTTGTTTTGATGGAATATAAATGATTCGACATAATTCCCATACAGAAAAAATATCTTGAAATGTATCCAATTCTGAATAAATTTTATCACTTATATCATCTTTAGATTTCATCTAATCATCAATTTAAATTATTTTTAAATGACTTAAATAATATATTTATTATTCTTTACAATATAAATAAAATATTCTTAATAAATGATCCAATAAAATATCAAAATACCCCTTCAAGTCTTCTAATACGTTTTGAAATTAAATTTGAATAATCCGAATAGATGTTAGATAATTTAATCGTACGTATTCTATTTACAGAAAATAATTAATTAATTATAAAGATTCGTTTTTTTTTTTTAAGTAATTTATACATCAAAATAATCTATAATTACATGTCTTTTCGATCAACTCTAGTTGCTTCCATAAACTTTATATAAGAATCATTGTAAAACTAGACAAAATAAATAAAATAAATAAATAAGTAATTTGAAATTTTAAAAGTTCCATTTACACGCATACACTTACCGACCTCCGGTCATCCATCAAATCATTTAAAGAACACATATAAAGTTGAATATCTTGATGAATCATCTCTTCTCCAACCTGTGGAATTTTTACAGAATAAGTTGATAAGAAAATGATATGATTATCACTACAATGAACGGATAAATTTCTACCTTTTCTGCCTTTTCTTTTGGTTCCTTTCCAAAGACATAACACATCAAACCGTTTACAGAACTTGGGTTGAATTTTGCTCCCAAGGTTTGATTTGATTCAGACCAATTTATGTCACCATCGTACATAAAAAGTGGATTGAGGTGAATCTTTTGATAATTATTAATTGCCACATTCTGTTCCACTACCGCGTCTCCTGTAGAAGATACTGTTAGGTATGATTCAGCATCAAAAGATCCTTCGTCTTTCTTGTAAAATTTTGTTGACTGGGGATAAGCTATTTCATCTACATCTGTTGGGTTGAGTGTTGATTGAAAAGTGAAAGGTGCAGAAGGTAAGCGATTCTTTGAATCAGGATCAAATATAGACATTTGTACCGTATAACTCGCGTGCGTGTTAACAATACGTATAAAATTTTAGAGTCGATGTAGATATGACGACTGTGTAACATTGGAAATTACATTGCACATGACTCTGCCATTGTTATAAGATGAAAATCATTTTTTATTGTTTGTCGTTTCTAGAGTTTCTAAAATAATCGTTATAGATTAAATCGGTGAAGATACACATCGATATTTTTTTGACCCTTTTCACCGTCTGTATTATTTGCCGAATCCCAATTTCAGACTAAATTAATTTATCAAACCTTTTATAATTATACAGTATTTGCAAAATATCAATAATAATGATATGGAGATGAATAGAAGAAGTCAAAAGCAATGGTAGATGTGATGAAAGTATGACGTACAGAATGGACAGTAAGAAATGGCTCAAATTTTGGTTTTTTTTTTCCTGTAAATTAGAGTTGTGTTTAAGACAAGTTACTCAGGTTTGCGAATATTCCTATCCTAAAATTTTATTTTATTTGTATTGAGTTGGTTGGTAGCAAGAAAACATACTTATCAATAAGATATGATATCCAAATTTATGTTCTTTACTGGTTACGATATAGTCAGTAGGCAATTAATCGATGTGTTTAGATCGTTCAATATTAGTGACCAAGGAAATGAAAGCCCGAAGCCGGTTTCTCTTTGGTGTTACTTATATACAGATTTTTATAATTAACGCAATACTTTAATTTCATTTTATTCGACAAATTACTTTAATTTTGATTATTAGAATTTACATTAAGAATAAAGTTTGTTTTCAGACGTCCTAAAAATTTTCGACCTTACTTTAGAATGCTTCAGATTTCTAAAATATATTCTAAAATTCAAAAATAAATACAGTATCAACTAAAATTCGAATTTTTTTTGTTTGATTTTCGGACATGATTAATATTAAGCGACAATTTTCGTAGTATCTGTTCGAAAAATCCTAAAGTCCTAAAATGCCTTCCTTGCTAACCTCAGTTAAGAAAATTGTTTTAGAATACTCAACGTTTGATATTTAACTGTTTTTTCAAGATGAGCTATCGGGTTCATTAGAATTTACCATTGTGCAACGCTTGTTCAACTTTACAGCTTTAGTTAATGAGCAAAAGATTATTTATTTCATAACATGGGGTTGAGTCAGTAGAAATCAAGCAAATTTTTTCTAAGTAAGTTTTTTTAAAACTTTGAATAACAATAACTTAACAACAACTTAATCAAATTTAATAATTTTTTTTTTAAATGAGTTTTGTAAACTTATAGAATTTATTTAAAAAAATTTTTATTTGTCACTCAATCGTTATCTCTACCATAACATAACACGCACTACAAAATACACATAACGGAATTTTGCTCTGCTGCTCATGTGGTCAACAGCCATTACTATAGCATCGATTTTCTTTTCTTCTCTTACTTTTCTACTCAAACTTTATTCATTTATATTATTTATTTTTATATTATATTCTTTTCTGTCACAGTGGTGAGTGAGGGGTTTCAATGACAAAGCTAGACTTGCATCAAGTTAGCAGCAAAAACAAAAGAAGAAAAACAAATTTTCATTCATACTTCATTTAAATAATCATTTTCTATAATCTCATATTTAACTTACTCAATTAAACTATCTTCTCTTATTACTAATAATGATCTCATTATTTAATCAATTATTCACTTAAACTCTCTTACTCACAGTTACTTATCAAACCTTATCATCACAGCTAGATGACATAATCTTATGACAAATAATTGTCTTGTGATTTTGTTCATGATATTTCATTTGTTATTTGATTATTATTTCTATTATAATATAATATTTATTACAAAATATACATAACAGGATCATCAAGAAGATTGAGTTGTATTCTTTTTTCATTTTTTGAATTACAATAATACATTCTTATATATTGGTCTCTCAACTCTTAAAAACTCATTTTCATTAACACTTTATCTTTAGCTGCATCTACCATCTTTAAATATAATATTACTACTTTTGAATTCTATCTTTCAATTGCTTTTATTTGCATCAATGATATATATTCTCTTATAATTACAATTGTCTTTTTTATTCTTAAACAATAAGATGTAAACTATTTTTTAATTTTTATATTTTTTATCATTTGTTTTATTACTGATGAAATTATCACTACTGACATTTCTTTACTTATACTTGACAAAAATAAGAACTCATATTTGGTTTTATTTTTAAATATTTTTTCAACAATCTTACAAAACAAATTCTACTTCTTATATTTTTTATTAATACAAACTTTCTATTCACAAATAGATTATTCTTTTCTTTCTAACTTTTATTTAAACTAACTTTGACCTTCTTTTCATATCTTTTACCTTTAAATTATACAATTCTCAGAGTTTATGTATTATATAAAAGCCTATTATCACTAAAGCTAAATTTTTTTTTTTTTTTTTTTTTTTTTTTTTTTTTTTTTTTTTATTTTTATTTATATAATATCATAGTAGAAACTTTAAGGTACAATAAGAAATTTAATTACAGAAGAAAATTTCTAAAATAAAGATTTCTAAACTACATTTGTGTTGCTAAAAAAGACACCCAATGTGACATTACACCTCCTATTTCCTAATAAGTACTATAGATAATTGTTTCAAATTATTTTCTAGCTAGGATAGGTTGGAGGAAACCTTAGGTGAGAGTCAAGATATTATA